ATTATGTAAAGGTACAATTCCCAATGAGAAATGTAATTGTGTTGTATACCTACAATGTACCAATAAAAGAATTTAATTAAAAACAAAAACAAAAAACTCGGATCTGGTGATAAATTTAACCACCGGCAAACAGCTTCCTGCTCCTCAGTGTCATATGTTTTAGGTTTACTTCACCTTTGGCCTCTTAAAGAGTATCTTTTTGAACTTTGTTTTCTCAAGAGCAGGGAGAACATGTTTATCAGTGAGTATCAGAGGGACAAAGAAAGGGTTAAGTCACTGCAAATAGTTATGTTTAGAAAGAAGTTCATTTTGGATAAGTATCATCTGTCCTCCATAAACCCAATATGAAATATAAACAAATCTTCGCCACAATTTTTCCTGTCTTTTGCATTCTTTATCCTACCTAAAACTTTGATCTTGACATTGCTAGACTTTTCAAAAGGCCTAAAATAAGATGTAAGTCATTTATGAGATTTTCCCCCTTTTTGCTTCCCACATTAGATCTTCATGATTAACCTCAAACGCAGAAAGGACAGGCGGGACCGGATGCTGCGCACACTTTATGAGCAGGAGATCGAGGTCAAGATTGTGGAGGCAGTGGACGGGAAGTAAGTTGGACTGCCTGTCCTCTTGCAGATGTGTTGGCGAGGGGGTTGCCTTCTCTGACAGTGGTAGTCCTGCATGAGTCTCTTGGTCATTAGACAATAGACACATTATATAGATGTCCAAAGTAGCACTGAACTTAGTGTTACCCTGTGGCTCAGATCTGAGAACCACTCCCCATCTGGTGACCCTTGGTTGTTATTACAATAAACACTTACACTGGACATTATTGTCCCTGGTCCCCGGCCATTCTTGCAATAGTTGTGGTTTGCCACGTTCTGTGGTGCAGCAGAAACATCGTGTGTGGAACTGTCTTCAGACCTGAAGAAAATAAACAGAAAAGTACATAAAGTCTCTGTGTCCTGTTGTGTGAAATGCCTGGTGCAATCTGCCTAGGCTGATCCAAGTGGCCACCTTTCTGGGGAGTATGGCATGAAAATCACACAGGGAACCTGGTTCAGTTCCTTTGAGAGATTTTGCTGTTGTTATTATTTTGTTTGTTTTGCTTTGCTTTGCCCTTTTGTTTGGCACATTAAACCATTTCAAGGAACACATTTCTATAAAACATATTTAGAATATGAGTGGCATTGTTTTATGTTTATCTACTAGGACTGTAGCTAGCAGCCACTGAAGAAGTTCCTACGGCTCCCTTAGAGAATCTCACCAGTGCTTCTCAAAGTGACACCCACATCTGAGTCCCCAGGGATGCTTAAGTGGGTAGCTTCCTGGTTGACTCATCATGTTCTGTAGTGCTGGGCCCAGGAACTGCATTTAAGAAGCCTCAAAATGATTCTTGGGTGAGAGTCCCACATAAAATACAGTAAAATTTTGTCCCAAACATTGCATGGAGCTTACTTATACTAAAAGAAAAAAAATTGTTCATTGTTTATCTGAAGTTTAAATATGATTGAGGGTGCTGTGTTTTCACTTGCTGTATGTGGCACCCTATCCTTTGTTCTAGTAGAGTTTGGGATCCACTATTTCAAGTACCACCCATAGCCCCTGTCCCACTCATAGACCACATAGACCAAAGAAACTAGTTGAATTGTGAGAGTTTTTTCTATATTCCAGATACAAGTCCCTTATAAGATATATAATTTGCCAATATTTCCTCCCATTTTGTGGATTGTTATAGTTTTGTAGTGATTTCCATTAAAACAAAAAAATTTTATATTGATGAAATCCAAATTTGTTGTATCTTGCTGTTTGGGTATCGATCATCAAACCCAAAGCCATGAAGATTTACTCTTGTTTTTTTCTAAGAGGGCTATAGTTTTATTTCTTACATTTAGGTCTTTGATTCATGTTGAGCTAATTTTTTTATATAATATGAGGTGGGGGTCCAAGTCTTCTGATTCATACTCCTTTTATTGTATTTATTTATTCATTTATTTATTTATTTTTGGTACCAGGGATTGAACTCAGAACCTTGCCCTTATGAGGCAGGCGCAGTGGCACTAAGCTAAATCCCCTTCCAGTCCTCTTATTTTTTAGATCTTCTTTATAAATAAAATTGTTTTGTCACTTTTAGTTTTTAAGTCTTGTACTTATTCTGTTAAATTTATTTGTTTTTTGATGCTATGGTAATGGAATTGTTTCCTTAATTATTTTCAGAATCATTGCTAAATGCATAGAAACATAATTTATTTTTATATACTGATTTCATATCATGTTACCTTGATTAACTTATTTATCAGTCCTAATAGTGTGTGTGTTCATTCATTAAGATTTTCTGTAGGTGAGACCATCTCATTTGCAATGAGAGATAGTATTGTTTCCACTTTTCCAATCCAGATACCATTTATTTCTTTTCCATGCTTTAGTACCCTGACTGTATCCTCAAGTACAATGTTAAATAGAAGTGACAAGAGAAGATATTCATATCTTATTTGTGATCTTAGGGAGAAAGCATTTAGGCTTTTGCCATTTAGGTATGATTTTAGTATGATTTTTTCATAGATGGCCTTTATTGAATTGAGGTAATTCTCTTGTATTCATATTTTGTTGCATATTATTATCATAAAAGGATGTTGAATTTTGTCAAATATTTTTCTGTGTCTATTGAGATGATCATGTGGCTTTTGTCTATTGATATGGTGTATTACTTTGATAGGTTTTCACATGTTGAGCCAAACAAAGCAATCCTGGAATGCATTCCGTTTGGTCATGCTATATAATCCCTTACATAGGCTGCTGTATTCTGCTTACTAGGATTTCCTTGAAGATTTTTACATCTATGTTAATAAGGGATATTGGTCTGTAGTTTTCTTGTAACACCTTTGATTTTGTATGAGAATAATACTGGCTTCATAAAATTAGTTGGGGTATATTCTCCTTCTGTTCACTTTTTAGAAGAGTTTGTTAAGAATTAGTATTCATTTTTTTTTAATATTTAGTAGATTCTCCACCAGATCCATCTGGCTCAGGGCCTCTCTTTGTGGAAAATTTTTTGATTCTTAATTCAACCTCTCTACTTGTTATAGGTGTATTCAGAATTTCTATTATTTTCTTGAATTAATTTCAGTAGTTTTTGAGTCTTTTGATCTATTTTTCCATTTCATCTAGATTGTCTAATTTTTGCAAATAATTGTTCACAGTATAATCCTTTTCAGTTCCATAATGTCAATAGAAAAGTCCTCTCTTTCATTCCTGATTGTAATAATTTGAGTCTTTTTTCCCTTTTCATTCATCAGTGGTAAAAATAGTCAATTTTATTCATCTTATCAAATAACCATTTTTTTGTTGATTCTATTTTTTCTATTCTTTAGTGTATTTGTTTCCACTATAGTCTTTATTTTTTTTTTCCTGCATGCTTTGAGTTTAGTTTGCTTTCCTTTTTCTAGTTTCTTAATTTAGTTTATTAGATTATTTATTTCATATAAGCTTTTTTAATATAGACATTTACAGCTGTAATTATAACTTTCAGTACTGTATTAGGTGCATCCCATATGTTTTGGTGTGCTGCATTTTCATTCATTTCAAAAGATTTTCTAATTTCCCTTATGATTTTCTTTTTAATCCATTAGTCATTTAGGAATGTGTTACTTTCACAAATTTTTTTAATTGGAAAAATTTTCTCATTATTTAATTTTCAGTTTCATTCCATTGTGGTTTGTGAACATTCCTTGTATCATTTCAATCCTTTTAAGTATCCTTAGGCTTTATTTATAGTCTAACATATGGTCTTTCTTAAAGAATGTTTCACGAATACTTGAAGGAATGTATATTTGGCTATTGTTGAATGGAGTGTTCTACAGATGTCTGTTAGGTCTAGTTGCTTTATAGTGTTATTTAAGTCTCCTATTTCCTTGTTGTTCTCCTGCCTAGTTGTTCTGTCCATTGTTGAAAATAAAACATTAAAGTATTCCAGTATTACTATTGGATCTGTCTATTTCTCCCTTCAATTCTGCTAATTTTTGCTCTATCCTTTGGGGTTCTGCAGTTAGGTGCCTATACACTCATAATTGCTATATATTCCTGATACATTTTATCACCTTGTTTTCTCTCTAGTATAAATTTTCTGTAGAGGTTTATTTTGTCGAATATTAATATAGTTCTTCCTACATTATTGTGGGTACTGGTTACATAACATATCTTTTCCCATCCTTTTTGTTTCAATCTATTTGTGTTTTTAACTCTAAATTCTGTCTCTTGCAGCTAGCATCTCTTGGATATTTTTAAACTTATTATGCCAACCTCTGCTTTTGAATGCTATGTTTAATCCATTTGGCCTCTTTTTTTCCCCAGGTCCTTACTCTTTTCACTATTTTTCCCCCAGGTCTTCAAGGTTAGATGTGAAATTGGAATCTTCTCTGGTCTCTTGTAGGGAAGTGCACAGCCATGAAAATGGCTAGGTCTTCTAGATTCCCAGGAATGTGTGGGAGCTTTTCAAAACTCCTTACAGACAAGACTTGCTGTTCCTCAGTTTTTTCTTTTAAGTTATTTAGTCAGCCTCTCATTAGCTGTAACTGGCAACGCTGCCCAAATAGCTGTAATGTTAAACAGTTGCTACTGATGGTTTTTGACAAATACTCCACATACAGAGCTTTTCACAGAGAATAAGCCCTGTATCAAGTCAGATGAAGACAAGTTCTAAGAATGGAACTTTTCAAGGACTGCCAGAGAGGTTGAATAGGAACTGTTTTCTGACAATAGGTCTTTAGAGAAGTCTTCATGCATCCTGTCGTTTCCAGTGACTGCCAGGTGGCTGATTGTCACAACCCCATACTCACGAGGCTGTTGGTTTTTAAGGCTTCTGTAGGGCTGAGGAGAGAGGGATTAGAACAGATATAAACTCCACAGAGCTCATTGTGCTTACATATATTCAGCTATTTTTTGTAAATAAATACTCCTTTGATTATTGCACGCTTTTAATTAATTTCTGGAGCTCTGAAAATGCTAATTGCTAATTGTGACCTTTTTGTCTGTGTCTTCATGCTTTTGTGGAAGAGTGGGATATTCAGAAGTCTTTAGCACTCTGGAAATGCTTCTCAGTTGTTTTTATTTTTAATCTTGTTTTAATTTTAGATACAAAGGAACAATCAGCATGCACATAATCCCTCTTCCCCATTCCTTCCTGTCCTCATCCCTTGTAGTATTGAATGCTCTTATGAGCCACTTTCCTTCATTAGGCAGTTACTCTTCCAAAGCTTTCAGGAAACTTATGGTGCTTAGAACTATGTTAAGCACTATGAGGGACAAACAAAAATAAAGACGCCATCTTGTCTTCACAAACTTCGTAATGCTGCCATCACACATTAACTCCGAAGAGCTCATAAAGAATAACGGGAAGAAAGCGCAAGGTCCTGCATTCCATCCCTGGTACCAAAAACATAATAATAATGGGAAACTGGAAAGTCTTTCCCTCTATGTATTTTCTCTCTGACTTCTGTGAGGGAGGGAGAACATTATCTTTGGTAATTTTCAGGCACATTCTCTGTCATGCAGGGCACTCAACACAAGCCAGCTGAAGGCCTTGAACATTGAAATGCTGCCAGGTTATCAAGATCCCTACTCCTCCAGGCCTTTAACCAGAGGTGAAATTGGCTGCTTTCTTAGCCATTACTCTGTCTGGAAAGAGGTAAATAATGCAAAAAAAAGGTTCAGTTTTGTAACGAGGGGAAAGGAAGGTGAGGTTTTGTAGGTGAATTAGGTCCAGGCACAAAGTAAGCCCATGGGTGTTCTGGAAATATGCCTGAGCATTGCTCCTGCCTTGTGTCTCCCTTGGGCCCAAGGCCAGCAACAAAGGGACAAGGAGGGTAGCTTAGTGCCACTCAGAGTGGTGACGGGGGAAGAGACCCATATCCTAGGACCCATACTCTTGTTAGTTTATTCTCATTGTTCAGGCATGCCTTTTACGTATCTATCATGTTGTCACTTATATAAGAGATTCATATAAGAAATCACACAGAAGTCTTGTAAGGTACAATAGAGGAATGGATCTCTTTAACCCAAGAGGAAAATTTTAAGTAACTTGGCCAGGTAAGGAGAGAAAGCAGAGCCAGAACTGGACCCCGTGTCTTACAGATCAAGGTATTGATGGAGGTGGAACTGGAGGGTAGGGTTCCTGAGTAAGGTTCAGTTCCCACACAAAATGGTAAAGTCCCCCAAAAGAACCTATGAATACCTTCTTTCATTTAATGATCCAGCTTATGCCTCTCTTTAAAATTTAAATGAAATGTGGTAGATATATAAAAGTTTCTAGGTCATAAAATATAGCTCATTGAAATCTCTCAAACTGAACAACACAATCATGTTAATTATTACCCAGACCAATAAACAGATTATTGGCGTCTTTGATGTGCTCCTCCCTGTACTTTTTCCTGGTCACCAGTGCCCAGGGTGATCATCATCTGACTTCAAACAGCACAGAGTAGCTTTGCCTCACATAGCACATTGCATTTAGTTGTAGACTTTACATTCTCATTTCTGTGATAGACCACAGTTTATCCATTCCAGTTAATGGGCCATTGCTTAGATTCCAGTTATGAACTATAACAAATTATGTTACTATGCTCTTGAATTCCAAATACTTATTTACCTAATGAAATTTTCATAGGGTGTCTTCCCACTGATGACCTTTGCAGGTAATTGACCGAGAACTGGAGAAGACTCTTGTTATTGAGGATGATGTGCGTTTTGAACATCAGTTCAAGAAGAAGCTGATGAAGCTGATGGATGACATCGATCGGGCTCAGCTGGACTGGGAATTGATGTGAGTAAGAAGCCAAAGTTATTACGGAATGTGAAAGGCACTGAGTTCTTTCCAAGGGTCAGAAAAACCCCACCTCCCCAGCTGGTAGGAGACATAGCTCAGGCTTTCATTACCTGGCTTTCACTCCCTAAGTGTTTCCAGCCATAAAAGTGGGTTAGTCACTGTTTTTTGAATTTGTTTACCCTTCAGGTTAAGAAACTATAGGAGATTCTTTGGTGCTCGAATCTGCTTGCAGTTTAGGGACCTTTTTACAGAGCAGAGGTATGGCTCTGAGCACCACTTGGGTGCACAGTGACAATCTCACTTGTGAAGCAGAGGGGAACGTGTCCAGGGTATGAAGAAGAGGACGAGGCAGTCATTCAATGGCAAGAGTCCCGTATCCTACTTGCTTGAAGCTCAGCTCAGGAAAGCAGGTACTTTTGCAGCCCCTAGTGGAATAGAACCTAGGAGGGTCAGCAGAAGAGCCCTCCATTGAGATGTGAGGTTGTGGAACAGGAAGAACAGTGAGAGCTGGGCCCAGGAGGGGAAGGAGTTTTGAGGCTGGTGCGGGAAAACCAGGCTAATGAGGCAGCGCTGGCTAAGTGCTAGCGTTTAGTTAATGCTCCCTGTCCCCTGTCTCTAGGAATTAGATTTGGTTTGTCTTTTCTCTCCTCTTCTTTTTAAAAATCTTCTCTTCTCTTTTCTCTCTTCTCTTTCTGAAAACAACACTTTCTATTTCCCTCTAATGAGGTAGAAATTTTCCAAGCATTTTGTTCTGTTCCCAGCTGTTTGTCAAAAGCAAATTTTATGAAGTCAGAGCCAGCTCCTTTGGAGCAGCTGCAGTAGCCTCCTCCCATCCTCAGAGGGAAACTTAACTGTGGGCTAGGGTGGAATACTTGCTCTCTCAGAAAATGGGCTGCCATCAAAAGAAACCCACCAAAGGCCCAATTAACTCATGGGAAATAGGCCTCCAAATCAGCACTATGTAATAAGAAGAGACCTGCTCCCTGTCAGGACTCAGTCATGTGACTCGGTTGGGAATTCACAGTCCTATGAGGTCACTGTTCTGCCCTTACATGGGTGCACTTAGCCCTTCTGAATCAAGGGCTCTGCAGCCTGTGGAAGAGGCCCCGCCAGTCTGGCACCTGGACACTATTTTACGCCCACATGACAAGAGTGGTGTAAAAGCAACTTTCATTTAAACCTCATGATCATACTCAAGTTAAAGATTCAACTTCAGAAACCTAAGGCTTAGAATCCCCTCACACCTAGTTTGACTGCAGCATTGCTCAGGACACAGTGCCAACAGTACCAGGAAGGGTTGATGGTTGTCCCGAGAAGGACATAATGAGTAAAATGCTCTAAATTTCACAGATTGATCAAGTCAAGATATTCCATTAAAATATATTGTAGAGTCTCAAAGAGCTACAGTAAATCCCCGACTTTTGAGCATTCAAGCTGCGAGCTTTCACAGATACGAATGGACCTCACATTATAAATGAACATTTGTAGATTGGAACAGATAGCGGAAGTAGGTCACGCGTCTGCCAGACATTGTCGCAGTTGTGCTGCTGTGTGCTTCCTGTAAAATTAAAAATAGTTTATATTTACAGTTGTACTGTACCATACCACCATTTTGCTTATGAACACATCTGACTTAGGAATGTTGTCCTGGAACGGAACTCAGTTGGTAAGTGAGAGACTTACTGTATAGCAGTGTCAACTTTTACCTTTCACCTCCTAAAAATGAAGAAGAAATAAATATTACTTAACCACAAAACATGAAAACTAGTAACCTGTCCATGATTGCTACATTAAATCTTCTTGGAAAAAGGAAATAGAGAGAGTTCTTCAGCAGAAATATAATGTGAGTCACACATGTTGTTTTTAATTTTATAGTAATCACATCAAAAAGGTAAACAACTAGGTGAAATATGTTTTGGTAATATATTTCATTTAACCCAATATAGCCAAATGTTATTATTTTAGCATGTAATTAATATTTTAAAACCATTAATGAAATGGAGTTTTTTTTGTTCCAAGTTTCAAACTCCTATGTGTGTTTTACGCTTGGAACACATATCAATCCAGAAGATAAATTTTCATCTGTTAAACTGTAGTTCTACCAAATAATAAACTTGTTTCACAGAAAGAAAAAAGGATTTTACAAACCTTGCACTTGTGAGGCAGGTGGCGGAACCACTGAGCTAAATCCCCGGCCCCCAAACCTCAACTTTTAAATTTAAATTAATTTAAATTAGCAACAGTATAAACTCAGTCCCTCTAGCCGCATTTCAAGGGTTCAGTTAGAAACTCTCACCTACTCAGTGACACTGTAGAGAAATTCAGACTCTGTAGTCTGTAGACATTGGCTGAGAGGACATTTGTTTCATGTCCTCAGAAGAAATGAAGATGGCACTTAGACACCTTCTACAAATCCTGGGATTCGTTGACCAGAGAAAATCCCTTGAATGCTGAAAGAGCTTCATTTAGCACAAAATAGAGGAAGTACTGCTTTATCAGCAGGCAAGAAACTCCTCAACTTGCTCCAATCAAGCCCAAACTGAATAGGTTCCTGACAAAAGTAATAGATCACAGAGCTGGGAATAGGCTGTGGCAAGGCAGAAATGGCCAAAGGTATATCTCGTGTGCTAGAAGTTGTTCAGGAAGGACAAGGCAGGCCTCGATGTCCTCCTCCTCATAGCAGAGTGTGTGGGAGGAAGCTGGGTAAAGCTGGAAGAGGACCAAGGGAAGAAAGCCTTTCAGGAGCTGTCATTCCCGGTTCCCAGATGGAACCATTGGGCTGCTCTTGAGTTTCTAGGCCCTCTTCTGCAGACTGTTTCTTTCCCACAGCGTTTTCTGTCTTGTGTTTACCACCACCATTTGGAGAGCTGTGCTGAAAACATCCAAGACTGAAACTCTGGGATGTGAAGACAGCAAACTCAGGATTCCCACATCGGACCTTTTTTTGTTCCTTTCCAACTTCTGTAAACACAAGTGGAAATCCCATGCCATATTCACAAAAGATGCAAATCTTTTAATCTCTTTACATCTTAATTTTCTGGCTCAAACACAGTCACCTAGGGAGGGATAGTTGGAGTGGTAAGTGGCACATGACAGTCACGGTGAGTGATTTCATGTGGTCTGTGGTGTGATACTTTTAACATAGAACACAGTTGGTCCACACTTTCAAAGATGTCTGTATAAACCAAAGCTTTGCTTTATTCTCATTAATGACTAATGTTCAAGTTGGAATTTTTCTCCTCTACCTATTTCTTTGTAGTTACATTGGTAGGAAGAGGATGCAAGTAAAAGAGCCAGAGAAAGCAGTACCCAATGTAGTAAATCTGGTCGAAGCCGACTATTCCTATTGGACCTTGGGCTATGCCATCTCTCTGGAAGGAGCACAGAAGCTAGTTGGAGCTAATCCTTTTGGGAAGATGCTGCCAGTGGATGAGTTTTTGCCAATCATGTACAACAAGCATCCTGTGTGAGTCTCCTTCAGTGGCCAACCTGTCCCTTGGGCACAGCCTGTTCATGAATAACACTTTCTGGGTAGTACTGGATATTTTCCAAAATTGTGCAGCTTTCTTCAGTGATTTACTATAATTGTGACCAAGAGAGGCTTATTCAAGTGATTATTCCTTTTACCAAATAGGAAAAACAAAGAGATGATGAAGTCTTGTCTGGTGGTTTTCTTTAACACTCAGTGTGTAGGACATAATCTGCTCAGATCTCTTCTTATCTTTGCTTTTCTTACATAACGTCACACAACATAAGGTGAAGGTCATTCTCCTAAGCCTCCAAAAACTTTCAGTTCATTCAGCTCAATTCCTGTGCACACTGTTGGCTAGGCAGTGGTAAACATCCTTGCAGAGCTCAGGATCTGGTCTGCAACACTGACTTACGAACAAATCATTGTGATATATTATGATGCCTGCAGTCACAGAGATGTATGAGAAGTTCAGAGGTGGCAGCTGGGCAGAGCTTCTGTGGAAGAAGGCACGGTGATGCTCAGAATCTAATAGCCAGGAGTTTATACTGGGGTAGCAATTATCAAGAGATATGGTAATTGATGGCTGTGAGGCAGTCTCCCCAATATGCTATGAACCCTTTGTGGCAGAAACAGTCTTATATCTGTATCTCCTTAAAGCCTAGTCCAAATACTACACATAATAGCTACTCCACCAATGATTCCTAGATTCAGGAATGGAGAGAGAAACCAGGTTCCTCTCTCTATTGCTGAGTGATCTACAACTAGATGGCCTTCATCTTAGCCATTGAGACTTCCCATGCTGCATCTTGTTCATCTGTTTCCTGTCCTCTGTAAAAATAGAGCTTCTTGCTCTCTTATATGCTACATATCAGAGACTGGCTTTACCTTAGCAGACCTTAGCAGTACCTTACAGAAACCTGGAGGTTAAAAAAATACCATTGTCCCCAAGACTAAGGGGAAATTAATACCTATTGAATTAATTCTTATTCCACTCACAGACCAAGGAACTGTACAGATGTCATCTGATGTGAGCAGTGCAGGAACCCTGGGAGGGAAGCCGAGTTATCCCTCTACTTTACACTTACAGGAGGCAAAACATTGCACCAGGGACTGGAAGGCACAGCCCCAGTGGCATCTCTCCAAGCCGTCACCATGTCACTCAGCCCATTGCTGCTGTCCAGATCTCAGATTTTTTAATTCATTAATCTAAGAACAAAGCACTTTTTGTAAAATGTTCATGTTTATTTATCATTATGGTGCAACAGAGCTTAATTTTTATCTTTTAGAGTAAGCTCAATTCAACCATTAAAGTATTCTGTCCAAATGCACCAGAAATATCCTAACCTTTTCACTTGTTCATACAGTTCTTGTGAAAGCTCTAAACAAACTTTTATTGTGTTGTAGCCTGAAGTTTGTCACAAAGGACACAACTTAAAAAATAAGGAAATGAGTCCATGGCAATTTCAGAGCCCATACGCAGGGTCCCTCTGCTCTTTTCACCCATTCCCTGAGCCATCTGTCCCTCAGGCACCTGTGTTCCTCTTGTTTTCAGAGCCGAGTACAAGGAGTATTATGAATCCAGGGACTTGAAAGCCTTCTCTGCAGAACCCTTGCTCATCTACCCCACGCACTACACAGGCCAGCCAGGCTACTTGAGTGATACAGAGACGTCAACCATCTGGGACAACGAGACAGTGGCAACTGACTGGGACAGGACACATTCCTGGAAGTCACGGAAGCAAGGTCACATCCACAGCAACGCCAAGAATACAGAGGCACTGCCGTCACCAACTTCTCTGGACACTGTGCCCTCAAAGGACGAGCTCTAACAGTTTTCTGAAGCTGGGCCCACACTGGTTCATCGCTGTTTGGGTTTTCATCTGTTTGCTCCAGGTTTTTTTGGTGATCACAATCATCTAACCAAAGTGGTCCAATCTGATTGATCAAATTAATATATTTTTGATGGGGGAAGGGGATAGAGAAATTAAACTCAAATTTTCTACTATGGCTAAAAGATAGGCCTTATGGGAACTACTAAGTTAAACTTCAGTCCATATACCCAATTCTTTGGCTCACTGGCCACCCAGTAACACTCACTGCCCACATTAGGGTGGCAGCATGCTCAGAATCTTGTCCAAGAGGCAGATTCACCAAGCTGTCACATCAGTAAATGGGTAGTCAGAGAAATCAAGCCAGCTGGACCACATTTAATGGTCTGGTTTGTCTGATGTGACAGATGTGACCTGAAAAGTCCAACCCAACAAGACTACGTTCACTGGCCTAGTTGGTCCATTTTAGGTGGCCTTGAAAACTTGTGCATGTAACAAGTTTTGTTTTGTTGTTTTGTTTTTGAATGACGGAATCAAACCATTTAAAATTACATTAATTGGGCTTTTTCTTTAAAGGAATTCTATCATGAACCTTATTATAAAGTGGGGTTTTTTATTGTTAGCCTTATTTGTCCGATAGAGATGGTAATCGAGTCTGGGTGAGGCATGACCCTTGACCAGCATGGCAACTGGGCTCTCATAAAAATGTGTCCAGTTTTCCATGTGACTGTAATATGGTAGGTAGATACTGAGGGGCTTATATGGCTGTTTGAGGTAAAAAAGAACTCAACCTTTGGCCTTTTTTATTGTGGCCACTTGAGCCAGGATGCTGTATTTATAAAGATAAATGTAATATATACCGGGAAGAGCAGGGGGAGTCCTGCCCCGTCCTGAGGTTCATATGCTGCCATGGCACTTCACATCCTCCTCGCCACCCCTTAGCCTGAAAATGAACTGCAGGTGTGAGGTTTCTGGGTTCTTGTTAATAGACGAGCACATTTCCAGGCCAGCAACTACCCCTTCCCTGGTTGTTCATTATATCCCGAATTATTTATTTTACAAAATGGGGGGGAAACATTTTTGGTAGGATGAGGCAGAGAAACAGATGTTGGAAGCTTTTGTTGCACCCCAGGGAGGGGCCAGTCTCAACACATTTGTTCCACCATCTGAGTCTCCTGAATCTCCCGGCCTAGCTCTTGCACAGAGGCCTGTCTGGGGATTCTGACCATCTGGAAACAAATTATGCTGCACTTAAAGAGAGAGACTTTGGCCAGAAACAATGGACTAGACCACAGATTTAGGCCAACAACCAGGGACGCAAGCTCTTGGAGCCAAAATCCTAAGCAGACACCCTTTCTCAAAAGATGTCCTCTGAAATTCCTGTTTTGTTTGTAGATTGGTTTTATGTAAAATTCAGGCTTGGACCATGTGATCACATCCAGATCCACTCACTGTCTGGTGTCCTAGGATATCTCACGATGGTTGGCCTCAGCCATCACCTTCCTTCCTGGTTTATTGCTGATATTCTTCTCCGCTGACTAAGAAGCCAGGAGGCTGAGGAAAGGAGTGTTGCTCAACTCCAGTTTTTACTACTTGGACAGAATTGTCACAGCTTGACTCTTCTAGAAAAACAGGAAAAGCACCTAGGGAGCTAGTGAAAAATCCTTAGGTAATTCCTAAGGTTTCCTTGCGTAGCTGGTATAGCTGATATTTTGTTTGCATATTTGAGTGTGTGCAAGTGTGCTTGGTTTTAATTTTTTTAAATGGGGTGTTGGGAGTAGAGGGAGACTGAGTTGATTTTTGTGTTGTTTTGTTTAGTAGAGACTTTTTTTCCCTTTTTTCCCGTCAGCTGGTCTGACGAGTTTAAGAATTTTCATTCCTTAAATACATTGGATTTAAATTCTGGAGTTTTAGACTAGGATTGTTCTACTGTGAATAAAGCTCTGGCTCTGTCAGCCCAGGCGTTGCTTTTCCCCACTCAGGTCTGCATCCCAAGGAATGTTCTTTTCTTATGAACTTTGTAAACTGCAGATCTAGTATTTTTTTTACAAAATCATCTCTTTAGCAATCCAAAGGTTCTTTGACCTTTTTATTTGTTCTGCCTCCTTTCTGGTCTTAAACCAAGACATCTGCCCTGTGCAGTTTCACACGAGGCCATCAGTACAGAGCCTTTGCCCCTGGCCTTGGCACCTGCTCTCTCTGCCTCAGGTTAAACCCATCTGGATTCCCCTCAGGATCCAAGGTGGGACCTCTGGACAGACAAGCCTGACGTGAGCAGCAGTGGTGCTCTTGGATGTGACCTGAGCACCTACAATTTGCAGAGAAGCTGCTGATGGGCCTTACTTTGGGTTCCTTTGGTCTTCCGCGGGAATCCTGGAGATCGGGAGCTGATGTCCCACACCCTGCTTTGTCCATCTTGCTATGCTATTTCAGTGTGTAAGAGTGATAAAGTATTTATTTGCCTTTTGGAGCTCTTTGTGAAAAATTAAAAAATACTTAGCTCAAAGTTATGATTGGTCATTGGTTGTTCAAACACTGGTCAATGGCCAACACTGCTGGGATTTCTGAGTTTGCACTAGACTGGGGTGTGGGAAGCCAGAGAGTGCAGGAGGGCTGGGCATGGTAGGTAAGGAAGCTTTTCAGGCTTAGAGAAAAGACGACTGTGCAAAGATCGATCTGGAAACGATGGGGACTCAGTAGGAGAGAAGAGCTATGGACATGTTGGGACTGGTGATGGGAAACAAGAGAGACTAGATAATAATGCCAAACTGAGTTGGCTACCTTCCTTCTGTGGGCTGATCCTAAAATACACTGGCCATTGTTTCTAGGGGAATTCTAGGTTGGGTTACTTTCCTGAAAGATAATGCAGAAGTTCTCAGTCCTATGATATCAAAAACAAAGTTTCCCATTCAGCTGCAAACTTAGAAATCTAATGATTATTCATTTATGTTGGAACAAATCCCTTCAACTGATGACTCGAAAATAAAGATAACTCTACAATGTGGTTTGGGGACATTCTCTCCAGCTAGATGAAGGGGAAAGAAACGATCAGAAATAATTTCCATGACTGACAAGGAAACAATGCATTAAGGCGTTAAATAACGTCAAAGTGAAGCTGAAATGAGGGTGATAATTTGAGAAGAAATGAGCAACATACTCAGACAACTAAGGGGAAGCAACTTGGGAATCATCGGCAGGCCCAGGGTATGCTTTGTGGTGATGTTTGTTACTGCAGAGAGAACCCTTGCAGAACAGAGATGTTCTGATCCAGGTGGAGGGAGGAGAGCTGGAGGGGATGTGGAGGAACGGGGTCCCCTGGGAGCTACCATGGCACTGCAGGGCAACTGAGACAAGGACTACACTTCTGGCCAAGCTTTACTGTTTGCCTGCTTGGAAAAGAAGTAAATGATGGTAAGTTTTAGCACTTTATGTTACAAAAGATGGCATGGAGCGGAGTGGATTGACACGTGCCTGCTATGCCAGCGCTCTAGGAGGCTGAGTCAGGAAGATCCTAAATTTGAGCCCAGCCCGGACAACTTAGTGACTTAGCATGATCCTGTTTCAGAATTTCAAAATCTTGAAGAGAGGTTGGGATATAGCTCGGTGTCAAGGCTCTTGGGTTTGATCTCCAGCACCAGAAAAAAAATTACATGGAAAATAGTACCTCCTCTTATGATAAGGACAGAAAAAGAGGATTTAGATGAGTCCTCAGGAAGAATTTATTGACAGAAGTATTAGACATGGAATGGAATCCCAAGGCAAGGGTAGCTCCATTCACATTTGTCACTGGGCAGAACGGCTCTCTGTCTGCTCTGTGAGTTTGCCTAAAGTGGCCTGTTGGGAGCAATGCTACATAATTCTAGGGATAAATCATTTGGTTAGCCTAGTTCTCTTGCCTACAGCCCAGCTACAGAATAACTCCAGTTTGGCCTCCGGTCACAACTGAGACTTCAGGGATCCAGTGATGCTGTGATTCTCCAGGACAAGAAACATCCTGGGAGAACAAACATCTGCTCAGTTCCTCATTGTTCTTGGACTGATTAACATCTTGTTTGCCGGAGATGTACTGAACTCTCTGCAAGCCTTCCGTTACACCTTGTTTATCCCAATGTGAACTATTGAACTCTCTGCAAGTCATCTGTTACATTTGTTTCTCCCGATGTACTGAATAAAAGGTGTGGTAAGCTGGGGGCTTTTGTCTTTGCTGCCCAGAGCAGCACTGATCAGACCCAAAGCTCAGCTTCTTCTCGGTCTCATTTTTCTACCTTTCCTGTAATTCGCCGTGTGCTGCCGTGGCTCGCAGGAGACCAGGACTAACTGCAGAGGTTCTGGTAACGTCCCCTTCCCCTGTCCCCTACAGTGGCCTCGTGTTTTTGTTTTTGCTTTGCTTTCTCCTGTTGATGTGCTACTATTCGAGATGATCTTTGGGTTGTTCTTGCCACACCAGCTGTGCAGCTCCCAGCCCAAAGCCATCCTCCCATCTGCCGTGGAAAGGGTAGAAAGAATGAAAATTGTCTCTGAGGATTGTTTTCTCTTCATTTCTAATTTTTTGTGTTTATTTTCATGCCCCCCCCCCAATTTAGTTTCCTTAGCTTGGCTTCCTCTGCAATGGGCATTCCAATAAAATTCCCATCTCTGAGCAACTTGGGCCTGCAGAGTGCCTGCTTCAAAGCCCCTGTGGATCCAGAGAGGGCTGCACTGGGCCTTTCCCTGACTCTTAGCCTTAGAGGAACTTGATTTTCTGAGTGGAGTGAGCAACCCTCCCTCTCTGTTCTGCAGAGAAGCTTAGAAAACAGTGACAAGGAATCCTCTCTCAAAAGGGCATTAAAAGTTTGAAGGTGACTCCCAAATGGGAGTTTTTTCCAAGTGTGGACAGTGTGGTCTGAATAGGTTTAGCTGCTTCCTAAAACCTCCAGCATGAACTGTGCAGACCTGAAGGGGATGCTGGTTGCTCAGGCTGTGCACAGGCTTGTGCAAAGCTGTGTGTAAGGAGACAGGGCTCCCAGTCTATGGAATTTGAGAGATGAGGACAGCGGCAGCTTCCAGAGCAGCACACACAGAGCAGAGTTTTGCTGCTCAGAGCTGAATCGAGGAGAGAAATGCAGGGAACAGGGGAGATGAGAGATCCAGGCTGGTTGGTGCAGACAGTAAGGCAGGCGTACAGGCCAGAGGAGGAGAGCTAACAGATGGGAAGAGTGATAGAAAGGAGGCTTAAACTGGAAATGGAGATAGCCTGGTTCATAAAATGAGAAAGGTTTTAACCTTGCAACAGTGGAGGAAGTCTGAGGTGGGGTTCAGCCAAGCAGCCTGCAAAGGAATGGTGCATCTGAGTTGTCCTGGATAGGGACTTGGGAGCTGAGAGCCCCTACCTGCAGTACAGATACAGAGGCAGTGGTGGGAGGACCCAGCAGCACTGCAGATTCTGGTGAGAGGGCATTCAGGAAGGTGCTCGGAGTCACTGCATCCCTCTGGCTCTGACGGACGCTGTGGCTCTGGGCAGCTTCACGGTGTTTATCCTTGAGTAAAAACCCATCTACACTGCAAACCCCACAGGCCAGCCAGGGAGCTGCGCAGGCCCACACGCCTGTCTCCAGGAGCCTCTTTGGGCCACAGCAGGGAACAAACTACAGGAGCCCTGGACACTGTCCAACTCCATGAGTCAGTCTTTCCCCAAAGCAGCAGCAGGCTGAGAATTTCCCAGGGTGCTGCAGTTCCACATGTGGGAGCCCCACCTCTGTTTCACAACTCACATCTGGACCAATTGGCTGCTCACCCAGGCAGGGAGGCTGGGAACTTGAGGACATGACTTCCCTAGGCCAAACGTAAGTGCTTTGTCTATGGGTGCTGTCATGCAATACTACACGAACTTGAAGAGGTAGGAACTACTAGTAATCTCTACTTTTCAGATAAAAGAACAGCTAAGTCATAGAACTTGCCTAAAATAGTAAGTGGGTTGGGAGTTTGATGCCTAGGCAGTAAAATCCCACCCATGCCAAAACCAAAGCCACTTCAAAGCTTCTGGCAGACAGACAGACAGAGATACACACACCTTGCCTAATATATACAGGAGCTTATGGCTCCAACTTCTGTGTACTTCTCACCTATGTAATCTCATATATTGATTATTCAGCTGATCATACTGCAAATCCTCAGACTTAATATGGGAGGGGTCTGGCCACTAGACGGTATTAAACATGGATCAGAAGTAAATGTCTGGGAAAGCTAACAGTCTCATTTGGAATGCTCTCATTTCAAAACATTCTTTTTGCTGCTTTTTGTTCCTCTTTCTGTTTTTTTCTTCTCTCACTCCTCTCCCATTCCCCTTCTGCTCTCTCTCGCTTGCTTCCATTCTTTCTCTCTCTCTGTACCAGGGATTGAACCCAGGGCCTTTGCACTGTCCACCTCCTACACACACCCACACAGGTCTTTCGTAGTCACTAAATTGCCTAGGCTGGGCTTAAACTTTTGATCTTCCTGTTTCCACCTCCCAAAGTGCCAGGATTACAGGTGTGTGCCACCATATGCAGCTTCACTATTTTTCTTTTAATTTGAGGTACCAATACCTCTTTAATTCTTGTGTAAGTAACTGGACCAGTAGCACGTTACTTGGTAGTGAACAATGGTGGGAAGAAAATGATTTCTCTGAACAGCCTATGATAAGGCACAGGAATAGCAATGGCTGGCTGACAGAGGCTAAACAGAGGCCTGAGGATGGCTCTCCTGACAGTGCTTGAGCCCAAGCACACCCTTCCCTTTGGTAACTCCTTACTTGGTGTTTTTCCTAGGAGCTCTCCATCTGCACCTACCCCTATGAGATCACTGGGTTCATGGATCAGAAAAGGATTCAAATCCCTGTTGGGTAAATAATTCACAGAAATCCTAATCTTAACAGCCATTTCTTCATCTGTGAGATGGAACTAGAGCTCTGGAAAATAGGTAGCACAATGTTCTGTCCAGCAACACAATCTTCCCTGGAGATTTTAAGAACTAACCAAATGCCCACCTGACCAAAATAGCTTGTGTGTGTGCACACAACTGGAAAGCTGGAGATGGAGCCAACAGACCCCAGGATTTGCTCCAGCTGCCTGAGGCTGGAGCTAAGTCACTAAGTTGCCCAGCCTGGGCTTAAACTGCAGGGACAACACTGCCCATCAACTTCTCCAAATTCCCCAAGTTTCCCATCTCCCCTGAACTTAGAATGGGGTTACAGGATGACCAATGGACTGTGAATGGAAGTAATGTGTCACTTTGGTCTAAGGCAGAACAGTTGTGAGTTCATGCTCTTTGTATCATCATTGTGACTTGTAAGAAAAAACTGAGATGGTAGAGTTGCAAGATGAAAGCTGGCTGGATCCCTGAGCCACCATTAGAGGAAAGCCACTAAACAGATTTGCCTGACATTAAGTACACTGCCACTTTAATGAAAAAATAAAACATGGTTTAAGTTACTTGGTTTACTTTAATCTGGTCTAGCCTAACCTAATACATCCTTTCCAAAGGTATTCACTTTAAGAGAGATTCGAGGGGAAACAGCAATGGAAAACAAATGTAAGAGCGCCCAGGAGGAGGCTCCCCTGCCGCCATTCCACCGCTCCTAGGGCAGAAGAAGTGAGCCAATCCCAGCACCCAGAAGGAGGCTCCCCTGCTGCCATTCCACCACTCCTAGGGCAGAGAAGATGAGCCAATCCCAGCCCCCAGGAGGAAGCTCCCCCACTGCCATTCCACCACTCCTAGAGCAGAAGAGGTGAGCCAATCCCAACACCTAGGAGGAGGCTCCCATGCCACCATTCCACTGCTCCTAGGGCAGAGGAGGTGAGCCGCATGGGAGCCACCAGCACACACACCACCCCACCCCCCTCCCCCTATGGAAATGAGAAGACACGTGAACAAGCCTCAAAAACAAACTTCCAGATCACCTACAGCAACCCCAAAAGGAAATGAGATGGAACAATCTGATACTCAACCACCTGGGCTCCCTGAACTGGCAACAAAACAGGATCTGGAAAAAATGAAATCAGAAATAATTTCTCAGATAACAGCAAAGATTGTGCCCATAGTGCAAGACCTGATTAATTAATCTAGAGAGGACACAGATAAAAAAATAGAGGATCTGAGGAACATGATGGAATCCCAACATAGGGAACAAATGAAATCCATAAAACAGATGCAAACAGACTTCCAGGAGATTAAAAACTCCGTTGAAAGTCTATGCAGCAGAATGAGCACATGTGAGGACACAATTTCAGATATAGAAGATAAGATTGCAATTAGTGACTAGGAAAAGAAAAATTGCTTTAAAATTGTAAGGGACCACCAGAAAGCAATCCAGCAGCTGCTAGATGATGCAAAGAAGAATAACATAAGACCGATTGGAATCAATAAAGAAACAGGAGAGAGAGTGCAGATGACATAAAAAAACCTGTTCACAGAAGTGATGGCAGAAAACTTCCCAAGCAGGGGAAAAGAACTTGATATACAGATAAGTGAGGAATATAGGATTCCAACTAGCC